TCTTTGCTTTCTCTCCGTAGAGATTTTCCAGTGGCATCTTTCCAAGTAACGGAAATCACTGCTTTGTCCATGCTGAAGCCACAAAAAAACATGGACAGGATTTTTCACACACTGCTAGTTCAGATCACAAGTATCTACTAGGAGAGAGGAAATACCCTAGCACTTTCTTTCTAGAGATTCATTCCCGTGTTCTCTTCAAGCACGATTTCCTACTTGAAACACTGTCATAATTTTCCTCCTTCTCAGAATCACAGAACTGTTTGAGTTGGAAGGGACCTTTAAAGACCACCAGGTCCAACTCCCTGCAGTGCACAGGGACACCCACAGCTCCATCAGTGCTCAGAGCCCCTCCAGCCCAACCTTGGGTGTCTGCAGGGATGGGGCATCCTCTTGCTCAGCCTTGGGTCCTTGCTAGCTTTTCCTTCAGTTCTTTGAAGAACAAAATCACTACACCCTGTTTCTCTTCTCCTTCTTATTGTTTGTACATAGGATTACAAAAGTTTAAGAACAGAAAGCCTTTGCAAAAGCTAAAACTCTGGACACAATGGAGAAAGAGCTCTTTTAACCTCTTCTGTCTGCAGTAAACAGCAAAGACTACAAAGCAAGAGTCGTGAGTCTATTTCCCAGCAAATATTACCATGTAATGCAGATTGTTTTAGCCTTTTAAGCACTGTCCTTCTCCATAGATTCATTTCATTGAGCCTGGTTTAACACCCTGGGGCAGGACGTGACTAAAGAACTGGCATAATATCACAAATGTGCAACTGCCAGCTACAAAAATACTCAAGGAAACCACCAATAAGGAGCTCTCACTTGCTACAGTAATGCTTGCAGATCTCAGCCTCAAGAAAAATATGCTCGGAGGGGAAAAAAACCCAAACACTGTGTTTCAAGGAAAGCTTGAATGAGCTTGCATGGCTTCTAGTTTGAAGAGGAAATGAGATGCTAAGATAAAGTGGACGCTAGATGTGTGGAGTACAGGGCAGTCTCCTCATCATCCTCCTCCTCCACTTCCTCCTCCTAATCATGAAATATCCAAAGGCAGATGAGGTCTCATAGGCAAGAAGCTCAATTACAGGTCTCCTATAGCTCACGCTCCTGGACAGTCCTGATGTAACCAAGTCATGTCCCCCATCACGACTTTCCAAAGGTGCATTCCATTTTGAGTATAAACAAATATATACGTATATATACACACCATTTTTCAGTCCTGTAACACCCCTGCAACATGAACAGAGGCTGAGATCCATAGGAAACACATGGATCTGCCCCACAGCAAAGGGCAAGGTGTTCTCCAGATATCCCAAGAGGAGCAATGCCTGCTTCTACAGCACACTTTCTCTACCCCAAAACACATTCTTGCACCCAGTATATACAAACTGAGTCAGTAAAGGGTAAAAATCAAATCAAAAATTGATTTGGCTCCTGTAAGTTTCCAGCAAACAACCCAAAGTCTCCTCTAAAACCCTCTGTCCTTTCCACTATAGCCCAAAGAGTTTCAACCAGGAACAACACAGCAGGCTCTGATAATAAAGCCAGGTGATGCTAACAAGCCCAAGGCTCCCATGCTCCCTAGAAATACAGGTGTGATTAAGCCACGTGAGACACCTGAGTGTAATGACTCTGACTCAACTCCCAAACATGCCATTAAAATCAAGTTACTGATACGTAACTGTTTGATCTTCAACAATTGCTTCCAGGTGATGGTCTAGCTCTACCCAAGGCACTGCTCTAAGGCTGCGTGGACCAGCTAACAAATGCAAACCTTTTTGCCATGCTGTGATAAAAATCAGCAGCAGATCACGTTCCCCATGCACTCGTGCTTTGCATGAGCAGTGTGTGAGAACTAAACTGCAGGCAGTGGGAAGGGATGGGGTTTCCTAGTTAGAAAGCCCTCAAAACCTCAGCAGACTAAGCTCGTGGAAATTACTTTTCGCTCACGGTTTTTCCCCTTCACTTTCACATCGGTGTTGAATTGAAGTTTGCCTGCATGAGAACAGCTGCTCGGAGATTTGCAGCAGCAGGAGTATGTCATCTTCACCCAATGATTCAATAGTCCTCACAATTGTGGGTATTATTTTTCTTAAATCTACTCCTTAATCCCATAATGCCACAAAATACCACTGAATAAAAGCTTAGCAGGATTCCAGAAAGGAACAGACTTTTAAAGAGATAATGAGAACTCCACGTTTATATTGGATAGGATAGAAAAGAGAATAGAGAAGACAACGTAGCAGATGGGCAGATTATTTCATAGTTCTCCTTAATATGATTTCTTCAACCTGAAGCATCTGGTAATTCCACTGTAAGAGATTAAATACTGGATAAGATGGACAGCCAGGCTGATTTAATGCAGCAATTTTTACTCTCTCGTTACATTTAGGAGGGACTCCCATTAAATCATCCATCAACCAATTAAAACAGAGGTGTGTAAAAGCTAGCATCAAAGTGGGGAATGCTAGCAGTCCATAGGGTCCACATAAATAAAATATTCACTTTCAATAAAGAAAATAACAGACATCTTAATGTCCTCTCTCCCCCTTTATAGGTAGGCATAAAATCAGAGTCCTAGGATGGTTTGGGTTGGAAGGGATCTCGAAGACCACCCGGGTCCAACCCCAGTGCTGTGGGCAGTGTTGCTAACTACTTCACTGAGCACCAGGTCGGATACAAAATACAATAAACATATGCTATATCAACAATAAAACTCACAGACCAGCCGAATCCTTCCCAATTTTTGCAGGAAATCACAGATGAAGGTATTTCCAGACCTCAGGTACTCCCAGAACACAAAGAAATCTCATCTTAGGGTCCAAAAACCTAATCAAGCTAGCTAGAAATGTGTTGCTTATGCCTACCTCATAACCCCGCTGTTCAATAGCTAGACTTGAAATGAGATCATAGAATTATAGACTTACTAAGGTTGGAAAGACCTCCAAGATCACACGGTGCAACCAACACCATGTCCACCCTTTCCTTGAGCACCTCCAGGGATGGAGACTTGGTGTATTTCAGCCAAAAGAAAAGCTTTCCTGGGCAAAGTGGAACACTTCTAGATTCCCTCTGAACGCACAGCACCTCTTTCGGAATCAATTCAGCATAAATCCCTGCGCTGCTCAGGTGGTGAGGAGCAGGACAGGTTGTAAAAAGCAGGAAGTTAAAAGGAAAGGATGTGAGAGCCACTACATGAGCAGCTCAGGGCCATCAGCATTCTGGACACTGAGCAGCCTTTAGCTGAAACAAACAGGCCTCACTATTATATTTAAAAGTAATACATGCTTTGTAATGCTTATCAGCTGGAGTGTTTTCAACAATTTTTCCTACTAATGCTGCAATTTCAAAACCATTTAGGCTAATTTCCTTTGCCTTGAATCTATTTTAATCAGAGACCAGGATACTTGACTTAAATGGTTTGCATTAAACCCTTCATAAAATCAGCCATAAAATTGCATGCACAAAATAGCGAATGGATCTTGAAGTCAGAAGCAGGAAAAGCTGAAACTTTTCAAATCCTCCAGCAAAATGAAGCTTATTTCATCACCACATCAAGCGTTCTCTTAAGATACCAAGAAAACTGATCTAATAAAAAATACACACACCCAAAAAACCCACCACCCTGAAGTTCCTGCATAGAAAAAAATTCACTAAGCTGCGCAACCCACAAATTCTCTCCTCCAAAGCATTAGCTCAGCTCCAAAATGATGCATATGTTAATAAATTGCTGTGTCTGCTCTGTCCTCTCCACCGCCCTCCCATGAAATGACTGATGGTGGGACCGAGGAAAATACAATGCAAACCTAAAAATGTCAGAATTAATCCCTTTCTTCCCTCGAAGATCTGAAAAAAAAAACATTAATTCTCAAATTAATTCTCACAAAGTAATGCTGGCTCTGCTAGAAGTCAGAGTTCTGGATGAGAAATGAAATAAGAAATTCAGACTCAGGTAACTGCTAGAGAAGGTCTCACTTTAAAGGATTTGTCATTGTAGTGAGATTTGCATATCATACAGCCAAAGGTGAATTTCTACCTGCAATTTATTTTGTCCAGACAGACCGTAGCAGCAGATTGGAGGCTGGGCCTCCATGCCTTTGAAAACTCATCCAAATATTTCTGTTGTCAGTGGTCGACAGCCTCGGAAACCATGAGTGGCTGCTTGAAATTCATGCAGCATGCAGAGAAGTGAAGGAACAAAAGCTCTCCATGCTCTCACATCGTTAACAATTTGCCAGTACGCTGGAGACATGTAGCTGCATCCCCTTGCTGCACGATTTTCAATGGTTTGCAGATGCCAAGCAATAGCTCTGTCACCACCCTAATGACACAGGCATTTGGACATGTATCTTTCAGAATCTAAATCTCTCTTAGCTATTTATTTTAGTTTTTTCAATCGGAGCTGTCACTCCAGGCCTAGAAAAATTGTCACTTTCCTATTTTGAGGAGCACGCTGCTAGCCATATCTAAAATTAACTTTCATACAGATAACTTTCACTGCAGCTTTTCTCACACTCTTAACAATGATCTGGTATCTCATTTAAAGTGAGATGGTGCTTACTAGGTAATGTTCATCATCACCATCACCTTAAAAGGTCTATCTAGTGAAATAATATAGAGAAGGTATTGTCAGTGCATCCACCGAGCCCTATTCCACTGTGTCTGGACAGAGGTATCGCTGCTCAGGAGACATCTGCTGCTCTTTCTGCTCAGTTTTTAAAGTCCTTCTGCCACCGAGGTGCAAAATGGTTTAAGAGCTTCAGCTCCCTCCTTCCCATCAATCTCCTTCCCATCAATCTTTTAGGGGCAGTTAAAGCTCAAGAGATTTCCACCAGTGTCCCAGGACTATGCTGGGAGAGGCGTGGAGGCTGCGCCGACTGCATCTGCTGCTCATCACTGAGCACTGCGCTGAGAATGATAAGCAGGGAAGAGAAAACATGATCCCACCAGAACATGAAAGCAACCATTGGCCCAGGCTCTCAGAGCGACACGAAGCCAGCAGTACTTACTTGGTTGGACGATAATCTGGTATGGAACGGTCCAGTGAAATTTTCTCACTGAGGTAGGAGTTGTAGCCGTATTTCTCATGGGGTCCCTTTGCTTTCTCCTCCTCCTCGGGGGACAGGGTGGCTGGAAGTCCCCCTTTGCCACGTCCACCATAGCCTTCGATGAGACCGAGTGACTTGGACAGACCTCGAGAGAAAGAGAGCCATCGGTCACTGCTAAATTCACCACTGCTACTTCCAAGTCAGAACAGAAACAAAAGCAATCTGACAAGGCATTTTATTTTGCTTTTCTGAGAACATTCCCAATTCTACTCCTTTGACCCAACACAGGAGGGAAAATGAGTCAAATTCTGATATTCTTCACGGTTCGAGCGTGCTGCTCCTGACAGCTCTACCACCAGCATCCAACTGATAACCTGTCCCAGGAATCCATGCATTTATTTAGCTGTTAGGAAGGTTATTTGGGCCCCCTTCCCCTCTAAGAGAGGTAATTACACATGAGGTTAGATGTCCCCAGGAGAAGGATAGGTGGAACACAGAATAAGAATAAAATTGGGTTGGTTAACTGCCAGCTGAATCAGTTTTCACTCAGGATGAACAGTGAACAGCATACAAATGTTATGGATTTAAAAACAATTTCCCCTCAAAGCTTTCTTATCTTTTATGGTATAGCATACCCAGACCTTTATCAAGCTGAATTATTTATTTATATCTGCATAGCTGAAGGAAATGGGCAAAGTTCAAAATGAGCTGCACAAAAAGTGCTATACTGATGATTTGGTGGCGATTGCGAAGCCAAGTTTGTACTCATGTTATTATTTATTACAAAGGACACCTGGGATTTTAATATTTTTCATTAGCAGAGACTTGCACTCGTCACTGTCAGAAAACAAAAAATCTGATGGATTGAATTCTGTTATTTTTTTCTTTTTCTTTTTTTTAAATTAAGATGCCATAACACATTTGTTTTTGTTGTAATGGCGGAGTCTTGATTCTGCGAGCTGAACAGACTTCACCACTGATATTTATTAAAGGACAACAACCTTCAGGCTATTCCCAAGGAACCATGATCCAAGAGCATGGTCCATCTCCCAGCCTGCACAAAGCACTTTGCCTCCTCACCTACAAGATACAGATTTTAACACTTCCTTAAAAAGCAGTATTGTGAGGCAGTAAGAAAATCACCTCTGAATGAAAACCACAGTTTGAAATACTTGGATGTAAACTGTTGTTATTATTCGTTCTGACAAGGTACCTCCAAACAGCCCAGAGCTTCTGAGAGCTGATGGAGCCTCAGACCTCACTGGGTTTGATTAGATTGCATCTGAAGACTGTAATAACAAATCATCTGCAAGGAGAAGCTGGCTGTGACATGGGGATGGATTAGGTATCCATGCTGCCATCATGAAATGCCTTTGCTACCAGACAGATCACAGAATCATTAAGGCTCTCTACGATCACCAAGTCCGACTGCCAACCCACCCCACCATGCCCACTGCCCACGTCCATCAGTGCCACAGCTCCACAGCTCTGAACACCTCCAGGGGCAGTGACCCCATCACTGTGGCAGTGCCTGACTGCTCTGCTGAAGAAGTTTTTCCCAATATCCAACCTGAATGTCCCCAGCACAACACGAGGCCGTCACCTCTTATCCTATCACTGTGACCTGGGAGCAGAGGTTGATCCACACCTTGCTGCAAGCTGCCTTCAGAGAATTGTAGAGAGCCATGAGAGACAGACAAAAGCACAAACTTGGTATTTTTAAAAAACATTCTCACAAAAACAAAATGCTCTGGAAATGCCCATTTGTTTTCTCAAAACTCGGTATTTTTTGCTCAGGAATGGCACACCTGACAATGCATACGTTTCCTCAGTGTCTCCTAGATCATGTCCTGCCTCCTGTCCAAAAAGAAAAAACATCCTCCTCTGTTATCAGCTGAGAGCTTTATCGCTAGCAGATACGTTAGAAGAGAATTCAGTTTATAAAATTCCCCCTTCTTCATCTCCCCCCATGAAATGCTTCTTCCAAAAAACCAGCTGGAAGAAACTGTCCTACTGCACAGCAATTCCGTTTCTTGGTCAGAACGATTTCACACAGCGCTATGACACCCTTCCAACTGCGCTTTTCAGAATCTACAGTTTCCTTTTCAAGCTTGATTTTGCTTTTCTTCACTCATTTCAGTAGACTTCTCACTTCCCTGGTGCTTTTGCTGATGGTGCTCTGAATCTACGTGCCTGTAAGAAGGGCTGCACAGAAGCAGAGGCTTTCAGAGCAGGAGAGGCTGGCAGAGGCTCCACAGATGGAGCTCCCTACTTGAAGGCAACAGGGAGAGACTCCTTCCTCCAAGACTAACTGAAACACCAGAAGACCTGAATCAGCTTCCAGGCGTGCTCATCTCTGCCTTGCACAATGCAACTGTGCTCCTGATTATCTAGGTGAAATACCTGAAAACAGACAGGAAGAACGTAGCTTTCACCAACAGCCAAGGGAGCCAGCTGTCCCAGCTTGTCCTGAACCACTCAGCCTGGAGATCTGAGCTGGTGTTACCTGCAGCAGGAGATGCCTGGAGCAAGGATATCTTCACCAATGAATTCATCTGCAGGGGATTTGCAGGCTGGGCACAGTGCAGAAAACTACAGGAGAGCACAAGGATATCCTCCTTACTTGCTCATCTGTGCTTTTACTCCATTAGAAAGATATAAAAGGAGATGGTGCATGCTTCACCTCTCCCAAAATACAGGCAAGAAGCAGGAAGAGCCGCTCCAGACCCATCTGTCACAAGGCAGCAGCTCCCCAGTGACTTCCAGGTCTGGCAAAATGATGCCTCTCTGCCGACTGCAGATGCACCAGAGAAACACGAGGACATGACTTCACATGTAGCAGCTCTGACTGACAAGCTCATAATGCCATTAACTGCCTTTTTCCAAGACTGCAGTCGTGACAACTAGATGCGTACACACACCAGCATCCATTTATCTCGACTCACTCATTACCTTCCCCAAAGTTCGTTCCTGCAGATAAACTGCTGCTGGTCTCTCTTCCAATGCCACAATAGCAAAATCACCTACAGGGACAGTCACAGTTCCCAGCTGCCATGCAAGTGGGAGATGCAGGCGTTCATGGTTAAACATGGCACCCTCCAGTCAAGGCTGCCAGAAGGGTTCATTGGTGCAGCTGGAGCATCACTTTGCGTTGTGGCACGTGCATGCACAATTCAGCTGATGTCTGACAGGAAAGATAACTCATGTCCAAACAGAGCTGGCTTCCAGCTAGCTGAAAGGATGCCTCAGGAGAGGCAGAAGTAAAAAAGAATGCTTAACACAACCCTCAGTCGGCCAATGCATTCACTCATTTGCTTGTACTCATTCAGTTTCAGGGCTGCACAAAGGAGGACACAATTCCAGAAGCCTTAAACATCTTTGACAAAGCTTCAGACATCGTCCTCAGCACAGCCAGGGATTCCCCACTGACGCCTGCAGGCTCCAGCCAGCAGAACCAAGCAAACTGTCTGGGAACACGAAGCCACAAAGCACAGGTTCCTGCAGGCAGCATGTGCATCTTCTTTCATTTTCTGTTTGCCCATCACAGTCAGCATGGAAACGCCATTTGGTCCTCAAAGAATCAGCAGTCTCCAGTACTGTGTTCAAATGCTGCACTGAACAATTAAGTGCCTGTGGTGGTGCAGAAGCAGAGAGGCAAAATCACCTCTGAAGCCAGCTGCTCCCAACACACAGCTGCCCAGGGCTGGTTTTCAGCAGCCGTCTGCTGTGGCCTGCTAGCAGCAATATGCTTGCAGTGTCTTTGCACTTTGAGAACCTCCAGCCCTCTGCCAAAGCTGCTTGAAATTGGCCTGCAGTGCCACAGCACAGAGACACAAAGAGCAAAGAAGAGCAAATAACTGCACCAGCTTATTTCCTCGAAGAATAGGGCTAAGATATAAGAACAGTCAGAACCTGATCTGTTATCATTCTGGGCAAGCACCAAAGCAGGAGTGCTGAAATGCTGGCAAAACATCTTTCCTGATGCCTGTTTCAGCCTATCTATAGTGATAAACAGCATTAATCCCCCACAAAAGGGCTGATCCTTGGGAGACTCTCTAGTGAATTTACAAGTCCATGAGACAGAAATGGGCTGCATCTGGTTTAAATGCCCAACACAGATCAGAGCTCTGAGCAGTTCCAAGCTTCATTCACCCAACAACTAGCTTAAAAATGAAAAGATGTTTTTCCTCAAAGCTTCCTGAAACATCCAAGCTTTGAAACAAGAGGCCTGTATTGCTCTCATGCTGCAGGAATAGCAGGAAGGAAAGACACCACTTTCGCCTGCTAATATCGGAGCCCCTCCTGCTGGAAACACCACACTGCATTCCCTGAGGACTGACAAAGAGTTGTTGGTTTGTTGTTTTTTTTTCAAAACAATATAAAAATTTCATCTCCAGAGCCGAAGCATTCCTAGACAGTTACAGTAAATATATTATTCCCTTCTTAAACCAGCAGTATATTTCACTGGGAGACAGGAGCTTTCCGGGATAGAGAAAACCTTTGGTAAAATGCAATACAGTGTGATACATGGCCTTCATTTATAAAGTGCCCAGCCAAACAGGCTCCCCAGGCAGCAGGCCTGTTGGAAAAGCGTTTTGCTATGTGTCAGCCTAGATGAAAGAAAACGTTAACCCTCCCCATACAAACTTACAGCAAGGGAAATGTCCTTTGTTAAGGCTGGGGAATAGAGAAGGGCAGCGGAAACTGACAAACAGAGGTCCTGAGCCTGAAAACTGAAGGTGGAGAAGGGGAAGAATGAGAAGAAATAACATAGGAAAGATTTCTGAAAAGGCAAAGAATGGGCAAGAATTTCAAGTTGCATCCTTCAGCATTTATTTATGCCATCCTAATATGTGAGCTATAGAGCACGCAGTCTGGACTTCAAGGCACATATCTGTAACCACACAATAACAAAGCCCTTCCTTCTCAAGGAGTGATAAATACAAGAGACAGCCCTCAAACTGAAAATAAAGGATGCAGAAAGAGAACACCAAAGGCCATGTCTGAAGAGCACCGCTCATCCGAGCTGCGCTGCATGGAGTGGCCCAGATGGCTCTTGCAGGGATCATCACAGGTATCATCACAGCCTCACTCCTGCCAGGGGTCTGTGGGCTAAACAGAAATCCCCAACTCAGGAAAAGAACG